GGTTTTACAGTTGCAAGCGTGCGTATATCGACATAAACTGGCAACTTATCGTATCCTTTCAGTTGTAGCGAGTCGCTCCCAGTTGACTTTAGACTTGAAATTTAAAAGTATATATTGGCATAAGCCTAAAGAACAAATATGCAACTTTTTTTCTTACTAATCTGGATCAGTTTTTTTGATTGAAATTTTAAGATTATAAATTATCTAAAAATCAGTATGGTCTCTGCAGGTCTCCATCAATTTATTTTTAACTAATCCTCAGTATATTAGCAAAATATTGCACATCATGATTCGGGAATATAAAAAAAAACAAAAACAATGTCCTAAAGCATGCTTAAACTAAAGACTGTACATCCACTCAGACAACATGAGTATGACCTGTTGAGCAGATAATTAGTAAAACTGGAAACAATGTCAGGGTAAGAGAGTGGGGGGGGGGGACTCATCATATAATACACAATACACAAATACACAGTTTGCTTGGTTGGTCAATTTTCATCATTTACATATTTATTAGCAATTGGGAGATTTCCAGTAGTATATAATGAAAACCAGTAGCTGTTGTCACTGTCTTTTCTTAATTAAAGAGTAAAGTGAGAATTGATTGATTTGAAATTCTCATACAAAAACGTTTGGTCATACCGGTATCTTAAAACTCAATACATCTAGTATTTAACCTTTATTCTTGCATGGTGGGGCCTTTTAGGTTGTTTTTTTTGTGGAATATTCTTTCCAAATATTATTGGTGGTTGAAAGCTGAATTTACTGTTTTTGCATATTTATACCTTGAATATATATACCTTGTTGTCATGTAACTATGTCTATATTATTTGACTAATAGGCTAATGATCCTCATTTTTAAGCTAGGCTTAATATCTTCAGTTGATATATTGAATTTATAAAATAATTAATGTGACTATAATTTAGTGTGCATTAAGCTTTAAAAATTAGATATTGTTAAAAAAAATTACAAATGACGATCAGCAGCTTTATATAAAGTAACTTAACAGCGAATGTAGACTTCCAGTCCATATTGTTCCAAAAACCTGATAAATGTTTATGTCCATCTAACAGCAGTAGCAATTCTATTCATTTCATATTGCCAAGATGGTATCTAATCTGCATTTCTAGTCTTAACAGTCTAAATCAATATCTCACTTTATACAGTATTTATACAGTAGTAATTCTCATTAAAAGTATGGCATATTTTGGTATATATGGAAAGTAGAGATCTCCAATCTTACTAAAAAAAATTCTGGATTCCATTACAAACACCAATGGGGCACCCACAGTAACACTATCTGACTACATATCTTTTGTTAGCCTTGTGATCATCTAGGTTTGACTCTGGAGTGGATGTTATTGTAATTTTCTTCTTTTGGACTTCAACTTCACTTAGGACTTCAAACGCTGTGTATGTATTTTCAACAGCTGAATTATATGTTTATCAGGAACAATATTACAACAATTTCTTGTTATATATGTTTATACGGAAGCAGGTTACACAATAGTCTACATTACAATACTTTAAATTAACATGTCAAGGACATAATACTGATTTTAAGGGGGATTTGAAGCAAACTTTTAATAAAACCATATGTTAGTCTCGAAATGACCTAGTTTGTGTCGAGTGGACATTAAACCCCATTTCGCTCTCTCTCTCTGTGCGAAGTTAGGAATGTTTGAAGTTTTGACAAACTGTAGTGTAGATTGGTTATCATCGTAGAAAAGGTATTTATTAAACTCTTAAATGGCGGTATGTATTATCTGCTTAAAAACAAATCCATCAGATGGCCCAGAGAGTTGGTTATGGATTTGTCATGATAATAAATGTTTAAATAATAATTTATATAACATTTGAAGCCATAAAAAAGACCTGCAATAGACAAATTTAACTCTTATACAGTACATATTTTTACTGACAACAGATTATTATCGGTTATGGATAGTTGATTACTGATGATGGAATTACAACTGATTCCATATTTAACGAGGTTGACATTGCTTTTCCCTAAACCAAGTCGTTTGGGATCCATGTTTGTGTCCATACTGACAGGATTAGAATTTGTGTGCCAGTAAGCAGATGAGATGAATTGATCCATTTTGTTGTTGATGAGATGAATTGATTCATTTTGTTGTTTATCATGGATTAAGAGATAATTGCATTCAGTGTTTCTTTCCTACTTTCACCATCCTATTATTTATCTGAATCAAATTTATTCAAGTATCTGTTATCAGTTACAAATGTTGAATGAGTATATGAAGTTAATTTTGAATATGGATGCCGATTGCGAAAACATAGAGTACTGTTATTCTGAATATGTTGCAATATTTATAGCTTTTATGAAATTTAGAGCATTCAAAGAAAGAAAGTAAATTCTTTTATTTCAATTTTATGATTCTAAAGTTCTTAATTTCCGTTACCATACGTCCACTCGTCCACATGGAAATGTGGTCGTATATTGTCCTCGCCGACGTCCTTATGTCCTTCCGTACGTCTGTTGTCCACAATTTCTTGTAAAAACTACATTTATCTTCTGATTATATTGAAATTGATATACAGTGGACTCTGTCATATCCGACCTGAATACTCCGGCAATCCATACTCTGAATATTCCGAATTACGACATCAATCAGCCGTCCCGTCACATGATTTCCATTGAATCAACACTGTATAATCCGGCCTTCATTCGGTGGGTGTGAAGCCACAAAAGAATAACAGGCAATCACCAATCAATTATCGGTGAGATTAAACTTTGTTGATAACTTTGATAATTTTATAATCACTTGTGACAAATACTCAAGAATACCCCTGAATTTTACGAACCGAGTGACGATGACCTGGACAAAGCACGACAGATTATCAATGAACATGTGACACCAAAGACAAGTGTGTGATCAACTGAATACGATGAAGAGGATGAATTAACGACAGACTTGACCTACGCATGTTAAATGAAATAAAAATTAATGTAATAAAATTTTGAATGTACAGAAAGGTTTATCATTGTTTGGGAATAACTTTCTTGGGATTCGAAGCTACATTATAATAATACTTCCTTTTTTCGAAGTTACAATAATAATTCGTGGTTTGAGAAAACTGAGTATTCCGACACTCTGCATAATCCGACATATTGTAACGATCCCCTACGATGTTGGATTTGACAAGAGTCCACTGTATGTTGTTTACATCAGTGAGATGAAGAATCCTATTTAATTTCAATAATTTCTGTTAATTAAGGCTCATTTCACTTTTTTGAACCGTGTGAACGTTAAAAGTCATCATCCGATCTGTATGAAATTTATATGCATCATTTAATTTAGTGAAACGATGGTGCCTATGGAATTTCGACAAATTCGGTTAATTTTTTCTACAGTTATGGCCGTTGTTGGACTTTGTTGAACCTTATGACGGCTTGAATGAAGAAAATTATCATCTGATCTGTATTTGAAATTTATATGCATCATTTGAATTAGTGTGACAAGGAATCCTATTGAATTTCAGCAATCTCCGTTAATTTCTTCTAAAGTTATGGCCCTTGTTCAGCGCTCCAACAACAAAAGTTATAAACCGATCTGTGTGAATTTTATATGCATCATTTGATTTAAGGTAACGAAGAAACCTTTTGAATTTCAGCAATTTCTGTTGATTACTTCTCGAGTTATGGCCCTTACTTTGTTGAGTCTTTTGAAGATTCAAATGACAAAAATTATCATCTGATCTGTATGAAATTTATGTGCATTATTTAAATTAGTAAATCAAAAAAGCCTGTCGAATTTCAACAATTTATGTAAATTGCTTCCAGAGTTAAGGCCCTTGTTTCAGTTTGTAGAACCCTCAAACGAAAAAGGTATGATCTGATCTGTATGTAATTATCTTGTAAATACCACCAATTACCTACAAAAGAATACATATCCAACAACCCTTGTTGACGGCTCGGACGATATAGCTGCTGTGGACGTATGTTTCATTGCCTGGCACCCTTTCTTTGCACTTTTCGGTATTGAGTTAAAAGCACTTATTTCCTTCTGTTAAAACTATTCTATCCCAACATACAAATACTGGTAGATGAATTTTAAAATTCATTTTATGTAATCTATTAGATTTTCTATTTTTGCCTGAACCATTGAAACTTCCATGATGATTGATCAGCACACGTATATTGTTCTAATTCTAGAAATAGAATAATACTTATAAATTCCATTATGAGAAATCTTGATACAAAATTCTCTTTTATGGTTATTTTTAGTTCCATTTATCCTTAAGACGAAAAGCTTTTATGTTCTCAGCTTATTCTTGGTAGATATGTTTCTGTTTGTCTGTTGGCAGCCATCATTAAATTGCTATAACATTTTTGTGATTATCTAATCTATTAAAACCAGTCCTGCTGACATTTTGATGTTCAAAAAGACTAATGGAATTAAGCTGTCTTTGAACAATAATTCATCGAAAGTAATTGCGCATAACTAATTAATTAAAGAACAAACATGTTCAACAATAAAAAATATATCGTTTTTATTCTTAAAAATTGTTTATCGTTAAATGATGCTAGATATTACTCTAATTGTTGAGATGTCATTCTGTTGGTTTGTTTCTTTTTTGCTTTGTCATCTCTGACACTACTGCTTAGAACTTGACAAAAATTGCTTGTTATGTCAGACCAATGATCTAATTGTGCACCTGGCATTTTGGTACCTATGGCAACAGATGCTTGCGAATTTGAAGCAAACTTTTACGGGTGCATGGATCTGAGATAGTACTTCACCTCACCTCACAGGAATATAGTAGACAAGATCTGTTTAAAAGAACTTTGCGGTCAAATGTTGAATTACTGTGATTTTTGTGAAAAATCCGAAATTTTCTTTTACTAACATGTCAGATTAGGTTGCAAGCAATCAAAGCTGCAGTCAGGTAACCATTTCAGCCTTTGGTCATGTTATTTTTTTTTTAAACTTTTCACTTTTAATAATCAACTTCTCTTTATGTATCTAACTTTCAGATCTGGAGATGGGTGATTCGGCTCCACATGCCCATGGACCTGTGGGAAACAACAATCAGCCTGATTATGATTACCTCATTAAATTCCTTGCTTTAGGTAAGTTAAAGAGGCAACTGCACTGATTGTAAATGTTTTAAAAGTGATTATATTGACAGATCTGACTATACATTGCAAAAAAATAGACTTTTTAAAATTCTTATAACTCATTATTATATTGCTTAATAGAGTGGCTTTCAAAAGCTTTAGTGGACACATGCACTTATGTTTGTACAGTATAGTCTAGCGTGTGTATTTCAAAAATGATCAGTGAACGCTAGATACCTTTCTGGAATTTTGAGTTTGATTTACCATATCTTTATGTCTGATTAGGCATATATGAGGTCAGACATTTGCCAATCCACGTAGGACAGAATCTCTAGTCTAGTAGGGTAAGCAGAGATAAGCAATTTGATTGGTTGGTGCTTTGGGACACGATAACTTTTGTTCTAAGTAATTGAGAGTGATGAAACTTGGTGTATACTTTCATCACATCAGTACCTTGACTAAGTTTGATAATGAGCATTTTCTGCTGAGGGTAAGCAGAGCGATAAGCAATTTGATTGATCAAGACTTTGGATGGAACCAATAGCATGCGGTCTAATTTGGTTTAGGCGTTTATGTGAATGTCTTAATGGAGTTCGAAGATGAGCATTGTCTTCTTATGGTAAGCAGAGATAAGCAATTTGATTGGTTGGTGCTTTGGGACACGATAACTTTGGTTATAATTAGAGAGAGAGAGATGGGGTTTAACGTCCACTTGACACAAACTAGGTCATTTCGGGACTAACATATGGTATAATTTTATTTCAATAATTCGCTTGCGCATAGGGGTCTTTAGCAGTGGGAGGAAACCGGAGGACATGCAGAAAACCCACGAGGTTGGACAGGCGACCCTACTCCTTGTCACGTACAACCGGGGATTCGAAACCACGCCAGTCGACTCAATGACAGACTTTATGATATAGTGCGCGCACGCTAACCATTCAGCCATCCAACCCCCCTGGTTATAATTAAGTGAGAGCGATAAAACTCTGAGTATAGATTCATTATATCATTACCTTGACTAAGTTCGATGATGAGAATTTTCTGCTTAGGCTAAGGATCGATAAGCAATTTGATTGGTCAAGACTTTGGAGCATAACAACTCTGCTTTTAATTTTGGTAGAATGTTTAAACTTGATCTAGATTTTCATTAGTTGAATGTCTTGACTGAGTTCAATGATTCACATTTCCCGGCTGCCGCAAAAGCTAAGCAGAACTAAGCAATTTCATTGGTCGATGCTTTGAGACAAGATAACTTTGATTCTATCTGATAGAGAGTGATGAAGTTTAGTGTATAGTTGATAATCAGTTTGATTGCTCGATGCTTTTGAAAACGATCACTGTTGGCTTGTTTATTTGCCCATACGTCATTAAAGATACATTATGGGAGATTTTTATAGAGAGTTGGCCATTCTTGCTATAACAGTTCAAAAGTAGATGATGAAAGAAGAATATATTGAAAAATTCAGTCAAATTACTTTATTCTGAACATAGTTATCATCGTTGTAATATTTGCCTAGAAATGGAAGCTAAATGTGTCTTCACCTTTGCAGATCGTTTGATTGACAGGCGTTAACTCCACCTACATATCTCGATTATCAAGTAAAGTTTTCAATGGCATACGGAAACGCTTTACAGCGGCCTCGCTAAGTACACTCTATCATTTAGCCTCGATCTAACTGACGTATTTTCATCAGGTTACCCCTTATTTGATTTAATCAATTAGTGAAATCCTATTTAAATCCGAGCTGTAGCCGAGCCATCCGTGGGTCTACAGAGTTGATTTTGGTCTTGTTGTTTAAATAAAGATCTAATTTATAATTTCTATAACATCTGAAGCCTAAATTAAGACTTGAAATAATCAGATTTAGCTCTTGCATAATGCATGTTTAAGTTAAGGGGAAAGCCTATTTTGTTGTATTCTATCATAGTAGAAAAAGAGCACTTAATTGTGAAAGTATGTAAAAAAAACCAAACAATTAATATGTACTGTAGCTCTCCGGAATATTCAGTGCAAGGTTCAGTGCAATAAAGATTCCCCTACAAAGATGGGGTGACATATGTAGATCCTTGGCCCTGTAAAAGTATGTTCGGATGTGTCGAAAACTTTAGATCCTTTTGGGTACAGATTGGTTTGCAGTTCTTGAACATAAAGAATCTTTAGCAGTTAAAATTTTCGAAAGTGTGAATAGTAAACAGAAACATTGTAACCATAGAAATAAAAGTTATCATGATGTTAGTCATAAAATGACTGATGTCTTATTGTGAGAAGTTAATGAACCCCCACACCTGGTCAGTCTTAATCAGATTTGATATGGCTGCTTCTCTTAATTAATTTTATCGGATACAAATTTTGAAGTATTTCTCTTTTCAGGTGATTCCGGTGTAGGTAAAACAAGTCTATTATTCCAGTATACAGACAATACATTTAATAATAAATTCATCTCTACTGTCGGCATAGATTTCAGAGAGAAACGTGTGGTTAGTTTCATTTTTCTCCCTATAGATTTCTTAAAAAGACAATTACTTCTGTCTTTTATTCTACCTTTCAAAGAACAACCATAAAGTTTGATTGATCTTGATTAGTGAGGTATGTGATACAGTGAATTCCCTCAGGAATTTTAGACTTTTATCTACCATTTAAATGTGAGAGCTAGAAACCTCCATTTAGCTTTTGATAAATTGGTCGTGATTGTGGTTGATTGTTTTAGGTCTCAATAAAATATCATCCCAATCAACATTTGAGTGTTTGTATGTGATGAACTGTGATTATAGTACATGTATTTACAACATGGTCAAAGCCTCAACACTGTGTACAGCGTTTTGACTCGGTACCTGTTTTCGTTCAGTACCATTTATTTTTTTTTTGTTACAAAAACATGATTGACATTTTTGTAATTAACATTGTAGGCAGACATAATATACAGAATTCAGTAGACCTGATCATGATAATAAGATAGAAAGTGAAAATGGGTTTAAGGTCCTCTTGACATTAAAGATACATTATGGGAGATTAGATAAAGAGCTGGCAGTTCTCACTATAATAGTTAAAAACTAGATAATGTAAAGGGAATTTGCTGAAAATTTCAGTCAAATTGATCCACTCTGAACCGAGATTTTAGCGATTGAATATTGGGCCTAGCCTCGATCATCATTACTAAAGTCGGTAGGATAAAAAAAACATAGTCTTGATTATCCATTTTTTGATTTTATTATGAATGGAAGTCGAACAGCAAATTGGAACCTAATCCAATAAACATCGCAGGCTAGCAATGCCATCAAGAGTTGATTATGGTCTGGATGAGTTTATTAATGTCTAATTAATAATTTAGATAACATTTCAGGCCTAAAGAAATACCTGCAATAGGCAGATTTAGCTCGTGCATAATGTATGTTTAACAAGTCATTTTGGTACATTTGCTGATATTTCTAATTCAATTTTCGTGGGATGATTATGTATTTGATATATATATAATGTAAAACAAATAGTTTTAATATCTTGAACTGCTTCACCTGAGAGTACTATATGCTACGGATGACCAACTATTATAAGCTTTGTGTCTGATAGACCTACCTGATACATAATACTGTAAAATGTATATTTACAATTTCGGTACATGTAAATGTATGTTTACAAATTCATCCAGACATTGTGTAGATTAGAATTAGGGAATGAATAGTGTAACATTTTTGTATTTATTTATTTTTTCTTTCATTCATTCAATAATATATTCACTGATACATTCCTTAAGTTATACACCTATTAATCTTTCAATGCTAACAAATGGTTATATTAAACTAATGACACATATTACATATTTATTGTCACATGCCTTTTGAAGAAAGCAGAGGACTAATAAAATGGCTGTGAACCAAACCAGACAGTGAATAAATAGTTAGGATATTGTTACTGTAAAACAACAACTTTATAATTTTTTATTTAGTTCATTCAAATCTGGCTGAAAGATATTTCTGTTTCATTATCATTTGCTTGATAAAGACGAGAGTACATGTATCCTCGTCGAAACATCCCTACGTATTAAAGATACCTTCCCGCGTATAAACTGGGTGATTGGATGATAGATTTGGACCGAAAAAATATACAATCAAAATTTTGCCTCAAATCCTTCTCAAAACATTGTATTCGTGAGGGAATACCCCTGCTATAAAAAAAATCTACTAAAAGAAGCCATGTTTGTGTCACGTGACTTAGCTGCCGCGGTACCTAGTTCTGTGGTTTTTATCTCTGAAACTGTTGTACGTTTAAGCTCACCACCAAGTTTATAAACATATACATCAAACGCTCATTAATGCTGAGACTGAGAGATCAGATAACCTTTGCGTGCTACCTTTGACGTCACTCGAGCAGACATACTTTTAATCGTCGGGTTGCCAGTTAGGGAAATCCTTATATTTTTGTCCTGTATGCACTTCATGGGTGTTTTTCAGGGAATCCAGTACTTTTTTTTTTAGTAAGATTGGATGTTTCTACTTTCCATACATGTATATCTACCAAAATTGCCATACTTTTATTGGAAATAACCACCGGATAAATACTTTTGTGGGTAGTAATTGCGTACAGGTATCAATAAAATTGAAACTTGTGTTCCAATTGTTAACATTTGAAGCAGCATTATGGGAGATTAGATAAAGAGCTGACAGTTTTTGCTATAATAAGAGTTAAAAAATAGACAATGTAAAGGGAATATGCCGAAAATTTCAGTCAAATTACTTCACTCTGAGCCAAGAAATTTTCATTTCAATAACACTGTAGCCTTGATTGTCATTGATAATAAACGAAGTCTTGATTATACATTTTTACGGTTAATCATCAATTGCCGGATTCAGATCTGTTTAAAATCGAACCCATCAGATGGCATCGAGAGTTGTTTATGGTCTTGTCATGTTAATAAATGTCTAATTAATAGTTTATATCGCAAAAAACAATTAATCATGCATTATGTAAGAGCTAAATCTGCCTTCAAATTCTTAATCTCATTAATTCTTATCTCGGCTTCAAAACCGTAGTAGAAAAAATGTTCAGATCTTGGCATGATTTTCTCAGAGTCTTACAAAAACGTATTGTTCTGTTATAATACTGCAGCAAGTTTTGGATCGCAATTATATGGATCCTGTTTCTGTTGTATGTTTGCTTCGATTATGATAATCAGATTTAAAATGAATTTTTTATTTAGGTACATCGGATGCCAGCAGCAGATGGATCTATTGGCAGAAGCCAAAGAATACATTTACAATTGTGGGACACTGCTGGGCAAGAAAGGTATTACATTATATTATCAATTTATTAAGGGTGTTGAAATAGTAATGCATACATTTTATTGCAATCACTTGCCTGTGTTCAAGCATTAACACCATATATGGATTGTTTAAATTAGTCTATGGCAATTCTTTTCATTCTATGAAATGCAATATCTTTAATGAACATAGAAATCAACTAACTATATTCTTGTTCAATGTGTCTACCCTAACATAAATTCCATCTGCATGTTAAATACAATCAGATTTATCATTTTAAATGCAGTAGCTACTTCCAATTAACTGAAATAAACATTCTTTGAACATAGTGCCTTTGGTACATTTTAATTAGCTCACTGCCATCTGATTGTCAATCCAGTTAAAACCAACAACTAAAACTATAACTAGAACTGTGATGCAGTGATGACGGGTTTCACCGGTGCCACTTTACCATTGAAATGACACCATCGAACCGTTAAACAGATTTCCACATGAGCATTGCGCAGATGTTATAAAATGGATGCATAATTAGCCAGTAAATCCAGTAATATCGGTTCCATTTATAGATTTGTTATATATGTCATAAAATAAAATGCAGTAAACGAAGACTCGACACATTGACATCACTTCCATTATCAACAAAATATTTAAATCAGATTACAGAAATAACCAGTCTGATTGTCCGTTTGATGACAGAAAAATTCATTAAAAATTGAACAGAATTAACCCTTTATCAAGCCATTACTAAAAAGCGAAAAAAATCTTAAAAAGTGATACTGACAAAATTGGTTATTTCTTGGCACTTGAAGATGTTAGAAGCACATTTGTCATATCTATATGATTTATTGATTCATACTGTTTGTCCATTGGAATCAAATATTTTAATTTTTTTTCGAATAATGAATATTACTTACTTCATACAAATATTTGTTTTGGAGACTAAAAATGACATTACTTTAATACTTTTGGTGATAGTGAAAATCTTAAAATAATTTTATGAAACCATAAATGGCATTAAACTTCACATGTTGAAAAGTTTATGAAAATCGAATAATAATTGACACTTTTATGGACCAAAAACCTTGAAAAGTGACTTGTAGAAAATCGTCTATTTCTCTGCAACTGAACAAGTTAGAAAAGATTTTGTGATGTCTGTATGACCGTATTCTTTTTATTTATCTGTTGATTTAAGCTAAAAGTTAAAATTTTCACAACGTAGCAAATCATACTTAATAAAAATTTATTTTAAAGGATAGAAATACATGTGGTTGTATATTGTCGTCATCCCCGTCGGTCCGTCCATCGATCCGGCATCCACAAGCAATTGTGGACGCTCTAGAGGCTAAAGTTAATATCCGATTGACTGATAATTACTGATAATTACATAGTAGTACAAAGACTAATAATAAGTTTAGTAAATAATAGTGTTCCACACAAGTTACGCAGTGTGAAACCCTAAATATGTGTGTAATAACTGTCTCCAACCAGAGTCTGGATATCAATGTGATCCATGAACATGTATGGTTAATTACCTTTTTCAATATGAATGATAAATGTTGGTACCGGTATAATGTGTTGAAATCTTTCCTCCTATGTGAAAATTTAATTCATTGATAAAATATTGTTCTGGCGACCACAGTATAATCTGCTTGTATATTTTACTAACTACTTCCACATCTTAGATAATGATCATTTCAATAACTGTCATTTAACTGTTGACCCGTAAACCTAAAATGCATACCTGATTGCTGAAATGTCAGCCAATTTAATGCATGGTGTCAGGGAAATTATTCAGATGAATATATCACAAGTCGAGTGAGAAAGTCTTGAAATTGATTTTTTCAAGAAGTATAATTGTTATTTATCTTATCTGGGCATAAAGGAACAAAGACTTTCAAAATGAGTATGTTTTTCTATCTATCCATCTGTCTGTCTGTCCGTCACACTATAATCATGCAAATCCGTTTGTAACGTCCTGGATTATGGCCCCGATTGTTCGGAAAATCGCATTTTTTTACGCCCACATTTTCATGTGGACGTATATTGTCTGTCCGTCCACAATTTGTTGGTGGACACTCTACAGGTCACAATTTTTATCCGATTTTGACAAAACTTGAGATATAGGTCTATTCCCCAAAGACCTTGGTTTCTTTCGATATTGGCATGTATCGGACCATAACTTCATGGATTATGGCCCCTGATTGTAAGAAAAATCATGTTTTTAGCTTGTGGACATTCGAGAGGTCACAATTTTGATCTGATTTTGATGAAACTTCAAATGCATGTTTATAACGTAAAGATCTTGGTTCCTTTCAATATTCGTGCATATCAGATCGTACAAAAAAATCAAATTTTGAGCTTGTGGTCCCTATAGAGGTCACAATTTTTATCCAATTTAAAAAAAAAAATGTGTGAATATATCCTAGTTATACAATAATGATGGTTGAGTTCGAATTTCATGACTCGCCCATGTCCATCCACGTCTCTCTGTTCGTCCACAATTTGTTTGTGGACACTGTACAGGTCACAATTTTTATCCGATTTTGACAAAACTTGAAATATAGGTCTATCCCCCAAAGATCTCAGTTCCTTTCGATATTGGCATGTACCGGACCATAACTTCATGGATTATGGCCCCCAATTGGTTGAAAAATCGCATTTTAGCCTGTGGATTCTCTAGAGGTCACAAATTTTTTTCCGATTTTGAAAACTGTTTAGATATATCACCATTCCACCATAATGGAGGTTGAATTGGAATTTCGTGAAAGTGCCCTACAAAATGGCTGCTCTTTGTACGCAATTTATAAGTATGTAATACAAAGGTTATGGATTTTGATGAAACTTAAAATATATCTTTATATCCAAAAGATCTCAATTCCTTTTGATATTTGCACATTTCAGACCATAGCTTTCTAGATTATGGCCCCTGAATGTACGTAAAATCGCTTTTGTTTTTAGCTTGTTCTCTATTCATCTCTTGCAAAATGTGAGCATATCTTGCCTAGCAACCGCTGGTTTTTCATATTATTTATGAGCATAAGGAATTAAAATAAAATCCAGGTTTCTCTGTCCATATGAATAAAGAAATCATCCCCTTGTTTATTGATTCCATAGACATATTGTATACCTAGTGTATATACAAAAATACCCATATAGACCATTTTGATTATTGATGTATCATGCATCACTGAAACAAACGTGACAAGAATCTTGTATTGATGTAAGACCAAACCATTAAAATGGAATTTTTTAGAACCGTTGGAACTGTTGACAGCAGAATACAGAATAGTAAACTAATCTTGTGGATATTGAAGAATATAGCTTTGGTAATTTTGTGTCACCATCATCACACTTTATATTATATTAATCGTGATTTCATAATCAAAATTATTTATTTTACTTTGCGTGTTGTTTGTCATTTGTAGGCATTGAATTTGCATTTGCAAATTGTTAAAATATAAAGTGTTGTTGAAATATTGTCAATTACCATAACTTTGTATTCCTAGGTCAACACTATCACCAAGCTCACATTTCTACATTCTTTGCAGTTGACTGGTGATTAATATCAATTGTATACATATGAAACATTACCATTGGTACTTTATTCTGCTAAAAATTCTGCTTGTTCCTATCAAGTGTACTGTTATATAGATGGCAAGAGATGTGATAATTCACTGTTAATAAATTATTGATGATAATCGTAGGCTCCATAAATAGTAATATAACAATTAAATATTATATGTATTATATCTAGTCAGAATATAACAAAAACAGAAAAATATTCAAGCTCGGATCAATATTATATGAATAAATTGGAAAATGATCAAATGTGCTAGTTCATTAATAAGTTAGTAGACTGGGCCTTTGTATGTATATAAGAAATAATGCTAATCAATATAGTTAATATTCAATATGGATGTAGGTTCTATACTGATTATAGGAAAAGGACAAATGAATTTTGGTAAATATTTTGAATTTAACATGATTTTGATAAAGTGGTTTTGGTCTCTGGTGTTTTTTACCACAAGAGTTCTGTGGTGTTTTTCACCAAGAATTTTTCAAAATTTTCTTCTAAAGCGCCGATATCAGTGTTCTAAATTCAACAAGATTTTTTAGCTTAGAATAATTTTGATAGAGTTTTTGCTGAAAAACACAACAGATCAAAAACAATCAAAATTGGTGTTTTTATCACAAGAGTTCCCCCCCCCCCCCCTTATCACCCTGTGTTGTACCACATTACACAATATATTGTAATTAATGAATTGCCTTTATGCCCATAAAACAATTCTAATACTCAGGTTCTTCTACACTAGGTTGGTGCTGAAAAGTAGGATGTTAAACACTATTTCATTTCTGTTGCACTAGAATTTCAACCAATACTATTCAGACTAGCATACAAAAAATGCATCCTGGATCAGATAACAGTTTTTTATGTAATGAAGGTTGTCTATGTTTTATTAGTATAAATTACATCCTTCTCCTGTGTGATGTAAAAAGTCACAAAGTTTCATGAAGCAATATTTTGCTTTTTATAGCCTTCATTGAAATGTGGTCATATATTGTTGTCGCCACTGTCGGTTGGTCCGGTGTCCACAATTGCTTGTGGATGCTCTAGACACTAAACTTTATATCTGATTGACTTTAAATTATACACAGTATTTAAGGTCATTAGACAAAGAAGCCTATCGTTTTTCTATGATTTCTGATAATTACTGTCAGACTTATGGCCCTTGATCACTTTGAAAAATCAGGTGGATGCTCTAGAAACCAAAGTTAATATCTGATTGACTTTAAATTATACACAGTGTTTAAGGTAATGAGACAAAAAAGCCTATCAATTTTCAACGTTTTCCGATGATTATGGCAATTGATAATAACTGTTTTGTATGCTAAATGTTAGAGTAGGGCAGAACTAGAAGCCAAATGGGTGTTACTCGTAATCACATTTTAATGTGTTGAAAATGTTTTCATTTCTGACAAAAGAAAAAATATAAGACAACCCTTGTTGACTCCCCTGACTTGTCTGCGATATCACCTCGGTGGAAGCGGACGTAAAACACAACTAACAACTAACTAACGACTCCCCAGACGACTTAGCAGCTGTGGGCGTATGTTTTATTGCCTGGCAACCTATCTTCTTTTTTTTTATTTTAAAATGTTATTTATTTGTTGTATTTGAATTCTCCTCTGACTTCCAAGAGAGGTAAGTCATGTGACGTAAACATGACCTGGTTTGATCAAATTTTTATAGCAGGGCATTCCTTCGCAATTACAATTTTTGAGAAGGATTTTAAGAAAAATTACGACAAATTAATTAGTTTGAATATGTTTTTAGTCCACATATACCATTAAATCACCCAGTTTGTACGCGGGAATGTATCTTTAATCTTGATCTGGATAATAATAAATTTGTGTTGACTATTATGTACATATTATAAGAGACATTGTCCCTTTAATAATTTCCTCATAATCATTAATAAATATTATGTTACCTCACTGTGCGATGAATAGTTATTTATTAATGAATTTATTTCTAATTCTATTGGGAGGGTTGAAAGAATGAATTCTGTCATAATATATGACATGAAACTCATTTCCTTCATGAAATTTTAACTTGCCCGTCAAGAGATAGAAGCCACATTGTCATCTTACTGGAAATATGCTGTGTGTTTCTAGATAAGCCAATCAAAATGTCACATGATGTATGACAAATCAAGATTAAACTTGCCATTCTCATTATTTACAATGCATCAAAATTGTTAAGGATTCAGTAAGAACTTTATCGATTTCCTCCATGAGTAGAATTAGGTACTAATCATTATCTTTTTGTGATTGGCCCTGCCAGGCCCTGGGGAACCTCCATGGAAAAATTTACAGTTAGTAACTAGGTGGATTTTTTTTTCATGATTATTATTGTGCCAATTCTAACATTTTAGGGTAGGAAGCACACTTTTCTGATGGCATTTAACATCAGTTTTAACACTTAACAACATTTTTTTCCTAGTAACATCAATAAAAGATTTAATGGAGGTGTAATGGTCAAATTAGTAGTAGTCTGGATGATCGTGTGACGCAATGCTAATTATATTATTCAATAATAAGACTGGTTAATTTAGCCTTTTGTTTTATGATGACGGGCACAGGCACCTCAAGCCAATAGTTTAACAGTAAAGTTTCTTATGTAGTAAAAGTATGATTTGAAAGTCTTTGCTAAATGAAATTCAAAATTTCGATCATTTCTGGGGAGCTGCACGAGCTGAGCTATGATCGATGCAATCGTAATTATTTTTTACAAGCTTATTTAGAGTATTTAGTTACAGCATTGCCTAGTACATAGGAGGAACGAGCTTATTCATAAGAAATTATCCAAGTTGCGTTTGTTGTCTTTGCAAATTGTCATTGTCATGCCATAGAAGGTCCTTAAGCCTTATGGTTCAATGTGATATCACAAATAAGTTGTAATTTATTAGATAGTTAAAGGACATAATATTTATATTTTCAGTCAATCTTTATCTCAGTACTTCAACTTAATACAATGCATTTGACATGAACTCAACTATTGTATTACAGAATGGATCGACTGTTTAGATGCTGTTGAATCAGTTGACATTGTTTTGGTGTTTTTGTATTGTTGTATCGTGAATTGCCGACTTAGGCCTCTGGTATAGTTATAGTTATCGCCTATGATAGTTATTTTATCCAAAGACTTATACAAATAGAATGATATGGTACTTTGGAGCCATCCATATATGATATAGGGGTATAGTCCTTTCAAAGCTTGCAGATGAACAAAGTTATTGCCCTTGTTATTAACACTTTTAAATGGCAGAATACTTTAGATTTTATATTTGACGGGTGATAAAGGTAACAAAGCTGTTATATTACTCCGACAATTAATGAATTTTCTACTTTGAAACATGGAACAACAAGATGAATCCGTTTAATGTTTTTCTTTTCAGGTTTCGTAGTTTAACTACAGCCTTCTTCCGTGATGCGATGGGTTTTCTCCTATTATTTGATTTAACTAATGAACAGTCTTTGATGAATATTCGTAACTGGCTATCCCAGCTTCAGACTCATGCTTATTGTGAGAATCCTGATGTTGTGCTATGTGGAAATAAAATGGATTTAGAAGATCAAAGAAAAATACGAGAAGATCGGGGACGAGAAATGGCAGAAAAATTTGGGTAAGCAGTAGTACTAAGAGATAATGTTGTCTAACTGACTGCAAAACAAAGTACAAATACAACAGAATACAGAGGTTAATTTGACCACAAAATCTATACAACAATAGATGAATTTAAATTCATCCCTGGTTGTACGTGACAAGGAGTAGGGTCCTCCGGTTTCCTCCCACTGCTAAAGACCCCTATGCGCAAGCGAATTATTGAAATAAAATTAAACCATATGTTAGTCCCGAAATGACCTAGTTGTGTCGAGTAGACGTTAAACCCCATTTCTCTCTCTCTCTCTCTGAATTTAAATTCTGTGTTTAAAGATTTTTAAATTGGCGCCGGTATGTGACATGCATTATCTTAGAAAATAGCAGGTATATTCAGTTTAGAAGTTGATATAAATACCATTATATTAAGAAAAAAGCGATTAAAAGTACCTAATATAAACAAAGCAAGCAAGACTCCAGCATTTTGCTTAAGTTTCGGGGGAATTAAAAAGGTAATTTTTGAAGGCAAATATGTGCTGGAAAGTCTATATTGATCAAATCAAATATATGGGGTCTGCTACATAAACTTGCTAGATTTGATCAATTATTTTATCTACTAATGAGTCTCATTTAACCAGAGCAGGTCATTTCATATAAATGTCAGAGTGAATGAATATGTAAACTTACAAAAAGTCATCCATATTAGTAATGTCACTTTCAGTGAGATGAGAGTTGTTTTTGTTGTTGTTTTAATAAAGAATTACACTTGCTTACATGTACAATGTATGCTGTCTGTCATCTACAATTTCTTGTGAACGCCAAAAGTTATCATCCAATTGTTTTAAAATTGATATATACTATTCAAAAAAAGTAGGGGATATTTGATTTTGGGGGCATAATACTAAAATATGCAAATGACTACGAAAAAAGTCACTATAGAACCTAACAGAAGAAACATTTCCAGTTACATGTGACGCCCAAACGCACCAATAGCTACCGCATGGAATGCAGGTGATGCTTGGGATCATCATGGGGGTCCAACCCAAGATTTGCACGACTCTGACTTTGAATGTTACAGTCATTGTGGCATTGAATTCCAGGGTGGAAACATCAGTTTAATTGTTTTAGTGACCAGAAAACAAATTTTGATATGCGTCGGCTTACCCAAAATGAAAGGTTACGTGCCCTTGGCATGCTACAGATCGGCACAACACAGACGGTTGTGGCGCGGACGATGAATGTTTCTCAGTCTGTCATAAGCAGGCTATGGTCCAGATACCGTGATACACAATCTGTACAGGACAGACCACGCTCAGGTCGACCAAGGGCGACAACTCAAGCCCAGGATCGATTTATCCGTACCCTGGCCTTGAGAAATCGTGTCATCACAGCAAATCAGATCAGCGCTCGTCTTCAAACAGACACTGGTGTGAGAGTGAGTGGCCAGACGATTCGGAATCAACTGCATAGGGGTCACCTTCGCGCCCGACGTCCTCGCGTGATCCCTTGTTTGAGAGATCATCACATTCAGGCAAGACGTCGTTGGTGTAGGGATCGTCAACACTGGGATAATCGACGCTGGAGCAATGTGATGTTTTCAGATGAGTCAAGGTTCACTGTTGATTTTTTGGACAGACGTAGGAGGGTGTGGCGTCGTCGAAACGAGCGCTTCCAAGACGTTAACGTCATCAGACATGATCGATTTGGGGGTGGTTCTGTTATGGTGTGGGGAGGCATCACTGTTGCTGGAAGAACGGCTTTACATGTTGTTGCAGGGCGTGTTACAGGCCAGTACTACCGGGACAACATCTTGGCAGTCCATGTTGTGCCGTTCGCACGACGTCATGGCCGCCGTTTCATCTTCCAGGATGACAACGAAAGATGTCACAGGGCCAGGATCGTTACAGGTTACCTCCAACAACAGAACATCACCACATTACCTTGGCCAGCACTGAGTCCCGACCTCTCCCCCATCGAGCATGTCTGGGACATGCTTGGACAGAGGTTACGTCAACGTCAACAACGTCCTGCCAATGTCCAAGAACTTGCGGCTGCGTTGCAACAGGAATGGGACAATCTGGACCAAAATGACCTTAGACGTCTCATTAGGAGTATGCCACGTCGGATCAATGCTTGTTTGGCAAACAGAGGAGGATTTACCCGTTACTGACTTGGTTGTGATGCTGTGGTAACTTTGCTGTTTGACCCCGGGTATCATTTTACCCTTATAATGGTCAGTCTGTGCCTTACTTAGTCTAACGATCATTTGGAATAAATCGATGAATGTGAACTTCATTTCATTTTGTCATTTGTTTCTTCGTCAGTTTCATTAGGTGACTTTAATAACACTTAAAAATCAAATATCCCCTACTTTTTTTGAATAGTATATGTTGTTTACATTAGTGAGATGAAGAAGCCTAATTAATTACTTTGTTGCAAATTGTTTTAAAATTTATATATTATGTTGTTTACATTAGTGAGATGAAGAAGCTTATTTTCAATAATTTCCCGTAATTACTTATAAGAGTTATGACCCTTGTTTCACTTTGTTCAACCTCGTCAGTGCTCGACCGACAAAAGTTATCGTCCAGTCTGTATGAAATTTATATGCATCATTTGGATTAGTGAAACGACGAATTCTATTTTATTTCAGCAATTTCCATCAATTACTTCTAGATTTATGGCTTTTGTTTCACTTTGTGAACCTTATGAACATTCGAATGACAATTTATTTAAATTAGTAAAACGAAAAAGCTGTCAAATTTCAATAATTTCTGTAAATTACTTCCAGAGTTAAGGCCCTTTTTTCAGTTTGTAGAACCTTGTGAACCCTCAAACGACAAAAATTATAATCTGATTTGTATGAAATTGTCTTGTAAATGCCCCCAATTACCTGCAAAAGAATAAATATGCGACAACCCTTGTCGACTGCTCGGACGATTTAGCTGCTGTGGGCGTATGTTTCATTGCCTGGCAACCTATCTTTATATTAAAAAAAAGCGAATTTTATAAAATCAGAAGATCTGAGACAATATTTCGGCTTTAGGGGCATACATGTTTACAATAACTGTATTTGGTCCGCATGCAACAATTATACTTCATAATATCAATGAGAGAAAATTAACATGACTGTAGATAGTCCTCTTCATATGTGTTAATACACATGTTCAACTACCGGTAGATCTGGGATGTGTTTCCATGTTAAATTTATGACCTGAATATGTCAAATACTACATATGCGATACATGTCGAATCATGACTAGTATCAATAACTACTAGCATTATTTCCAACTATTTAAAACATCTTCCCTTCATACAACAAGTGGAAGCAGACTTTAAAGAACCAAGGTACTACTACATACAACAATATCCTACACTTTCAATATGGACATTCTTAATAAAATTATATGCTATTTACCGTGTATATATATATATATAAACTATTTTACAGTTTGCCATATTTTGAGACAAGTGCTGCTACAGGTCACAATGTTTCTAAAGCTGTTGAATGTTTATTAGACATGGTGATGACAAGAATGGAAAAATGTACAGATAAAACCAAATTACCTGGCAGTCGACAACGCAATGGTCAAACATATAAACAAAAAGATGGCGGTGAGACAGGATGTTTTTGCTAACACCTAATATGTTATTTGGTTACATTTAATTCCACATTTTACGACCTCAGATGTTCACATACTTAACTCTTTTGCTACCAAGTTAACAACCATACGGTGACCAAGGAAACAAATTAAAATTTTAATTGTTTTTTTTACTATAATACCCCAAATAAAATTGTCCGAAGAGCAAAAATACTATACTTTATCAGTTTCACTTTCAAAAATATTCCGTCTTCATTAGCCCAGTTGGAGCAGAACAGTAGAATGTTCAACCCCATTTCATTTAATAAATATCTTTTAATACATGTGCTTTTTCACATAAATACTCTGAAGCCAGCTCGTGTTGAAGCTTGACGGAAAGACAAGTTGCTGTGAGTGGTTTGTGGTAGCAAATGAGTTAAATCTATGTTAGCATGTAGAATCTATGCCTCAAAGTAAGATCACATATATTTTTTGTTAGTGACATAATGGCAAATTAATGACTTATTAGAATTATTGACATGATGATAGTCATAATGTCTTTATTGATGTGAATGGTTGTGATCTTGCGAAAAGTAAACTTTAATGGACCTGCCTACATTAATGAAAAGGGCAAGATATAAATAATTTGAATGACTGAACAGCAAAGCTAAAATAAAGAAATTTGTGCATTTTGGATGGTAAAGTTCTGAAACACTATTTGCATTGCTGAAATAAATTGAACAACATAAACGATTCTTTGACCGTGGGAATTTAAAGACTACTGGATAACAATATCAGTCAGTAAAAATATAATGAAGCCAGCAAAGAAATTAAGTCCTTATTAAAAAAAAAGAATATGGTATACAATATATTATATTGTACGTTGTAACTAAATACCAGTGTACTTACATATAATTATTTACCGGTAATTCAATATGATTAGTTTTACTTACTGATGTTATATATATCAATTTGTATGTAAATAAAACTGCATTTAGTTTATTTACAACTCCTGTTAGATTTGCACAGTTATATCTACTTGTATCAAATTCTGGTGCTGTGGCTATTGGTTTAGAACTTATAATATCTTGGTTATTATTCATTTCACATATTTCACAACCAGAATGTAATATTAAATGCCAATGTTAGTAGAATTATGGATGACATTCTCCATCTATTCTACTGGTTTATCAACAGCTACCATATAAATATTAAATAAGGCCACATAATGCTGTCTACCTATATTTAGCCTGGCCAAGCCGATCTTCCAATCCCTCTTCGCCAACAATTTAATATGTCACAAAGATCTTATCATATTATCATTTCTAGTGAAATATCTTAAAATTTATAGCCAAATTAACTTTATCTTACAGTACATATTTGTATGTATTTTATTATTTGAATGCTGTTGTCTGTACTTCTTTTTATATAAACAATTTGGGAGGGAAAGTATTTTATGGAAATGTCTTAGTTAAATGTAGAAAGTTATATCTAATAACTATTGCTCATAACTTTACAAGTGCTGAAACATAGCATTAATAATGCATATGATGTTAATTATTATGAGTATTTTGACTGTAATGGTATTCTAAACTGCTGTGATTTCTGTATTATTGTTTATATTTATATAAATTTATTGTAATTCGTGAGCCCCACAATGTTAATTGTATAAAATTTATCTTACCGGTAGTTATCTCATGTTTCGAAGTTTAAAAGTAAAATTAGTAAAAGTGGAAAATTTCCTCAATCTGTTTTTTGTTTTGCACACATGTGGACATGTTTTGTCATCATCTGTCCGTCCACAATTTCTTGTGAACACTTTAAAAGTCAAATTTTTAATAGAGATTAGAATTTAAGACTGCAAAGTGATCAATACTTAAAATTCTAATAATATAAAAGCTGCTAAAGTTGATAACATTACTACAACCTGTTCTTATTATCTTCCTATTAATACCAAATATATTTTTGACTAATAAACATTATACCATTCCAAAGTCCCAAGATAATTATCAAGGAGCTTTCACTCTCATTATTTATACTTCCAATTTCTGACACTTTTGTTTGATTTGGATCATAAAATGGTAGTGTTTCCAAGTTGGATAATTTAGAAAGAAAATTGTTGATCTAAACTTATGATTTTGTTTCTGCCACCTCTTGTCATAATATGCAGCTGTGAAATATGTTTATTGCTTAATTTATATAAATCTTATACCTACATTATTAATCAGTATTGTTATAATTCTATTTTTATTTTAAATAATTTTATTGATACACATAATTGTTGTTAATATTGCTTGTAATTTTTCAATTGTTTATTCCACATTCTTAATTCCACATTCTTAAATCAAACTAATCATCTTCAATTCTTTTAATTGAACTCAGTATATTATGTAAATATAAACTATATATATATTATTATTGTTACATTGTCAAGGTACCATAACATAAATCTTATACCTAGACTGCATTAGCTGGCTTTGTCATATGCTCTGATGAAAAAGAAAAAAAATTATTTATGAGAAGATCAAAATGGTTGGGTAGTTGTAACAAGATCTGTGATTGGTGCATTTAGTTAGATTTTTGTATTATTAACAAATGGTATTGTTGAAGAAAAAACAAAGTCTAATGCAGTCTAGATATCAAATGTATGTCTTACTACTTTGCCATTGTAAAGATGGGTCGTTATGTTGTTATTGTTAATTATTCTCTATTTAATTAATTAAACTATTAATAAAAAGATATTATGTAATAATATATATAATATTGTTATAATCAAGAATATAATTAATATTTCTGTATATTTTACTTTCTGTTTTTTTCTTCATAAATATTTTTTGAGAAATAAAAAAAAATCTTATATGTTTGCTTGTAGTTGGGCTTAGTTAATAAAATCTTTGAAGCTTTTGTCATAATGGACTTTTCCACATGCCTATGGGGAAAAGGGGAATGTTATTTTGTACACGAAGGGAAAATTTTAATAGTGAATGTTGGTCACCTAAAGGGAACTAACTACATTTAAACATTAAGCACATTTTTCATTCATTAATAATAATAATAATAATAATAACATTTATATAGCGCTATTCCACACTGTGTAGTATGCTCATAGCGCTCAAGTCAATTCTGCAAAGTCTGAACAATATACTGTGTCATCTCATTACATATAGCGACGGAACAGATGTGTCTTCAGTGATGATTTAAAACTTGCTAGGGACGGACACTGTTTTAAGGAAGTTGGGAGTTTATTCCAATGGAAAGCAGCTTGATATGAAAATGTTCTTGCTCCAAAAGTTTTTAAATTGTATGTTGGTAATTGTAGTTGACAAGTGTTACTAGATCGAAGGTTTTTGACTGGTAAATGTTCGTTAACAAGTTCTTGAAGATAAACAGGTGCAGTCTTATAAACAGCTTGATAAGTTAGGCACAACAATTTGAATTCTATACGTTCATTAATACGAAGCCAATGAAGAGAGGATAAAACTGGAGATATGTGGTCACGGACTTTGGTTCTTGAGACTAGTCTGGCTGCTGAGTTTTGTATACGTTGGAGGCGTTTTGTTTGCTCATTGGTAATCCCAGATAACACACTGTTGCAATAGTCGAGGCGAGAGAGGATAAGACATCGGACGAGGGTAGCTGCAGCATCTGATGTTATAAAATGACGTATTGAGCCAATATTCCGAAGGTGGTAGTGACATGTTTTACACAGAAAACTGATGTGGTTTTCCATAGACAAATTCGTATCCATAATAACACCGAGGTTTTTGACGTATTTTGATGGATTGATGTAAGATTGTTCAATTTTTAAATGGGTTATGTCGCTCTTATGTAGTCTGCGTGTAGGGGCGATCAATAACAGTTCTGTTTTGTCCGAATTTAGTTTAAGCATATTGTTTGTCATCCAGCTTTTTACATCTGTCACACATGTTTCAATTTTTTCACAACAAGATAGTTGACTATTTTGTTCAGGGAGGAAAAAGTCCATGATCTGAGAGTCATCAGCATAAAAGTGGTGATTTAGATCCTTTTTAATGAGAAGATTGCTGAGTGACTTTGTGTACATACAGAAAATAATTGGTCCCAATACTGATCCCTGTGGTACACCACATGTAAGATCGACTGTGTTAGAAAAGGAGCTGTTAACCATAACTGCCTGTGTTCTACCTATTAAATATGATGAAAACCAGTTTAACACAAGGCCATTGATACCATACTCGGATTCCAGTCTGTTGAGTATTCTGCTATGATCCAGCGTATCAAAGGCAGCAGATAGATCAAGCAAAACGAGCATAGCGATGGAACCTTGGTCAACTCCACTTCGGATCGTATTGAAAACGTGGTTTAGAGCAGTTTCGGTACTGTGGTTGTTTCTGTAAGCTGACTGGTACTCGTACATTAAACTGTGATTTTGCATATGTTCCAACAGTTGTATTTTGACAACTTTTTCTAAGATTTTGGAGATAAATGGAAGGTTCGAAACAGGGCGATAATTTTTTAATACTTCCGACTCGAGAGATGGTTTCTTAAGTAAGGGCTTGATCAAAGCATGCTTGAATGGCTGTGGCACAAAACCAGAGATTAAGCTGTTATTAATGATGGCTGTCAGGATAGGTAATAAAACATCCAATATTTTTAGCATAAAGCTGGTTGGAATTGGGTCTAAAACACAAGACGTTGGTTTTGAAGATAAAATAATTTTCTTTAGTTCATCTTCAGTCACTTCCTTGAATGATGTGAATGGTTTACCTTGAAAAGTGTTGACTTGTTGATTTTCATCTGTTTCTGGTATTAGTGCAGATCTGATTTTGTTAATTTTATCAGTAAAATACTCACAGAATTTGTTGGCTACATCAGATTCTTCACCTCGAGGCAGAATGACATCCTGTGATTTCCCCAAAAGTTTGTTGAGAGTTGAGAAAAGAACTCTTGGATTCTGTTGGTTGTTATTAATAATAGTGTTGATGTGATCAGATTTAGCGTTCTTGATCATTAAATTTACGGAATTACGAGCTGAATTTAGTATTTGTCTATCGATTTCAAGTTTTGATTTTCTCCACTTACGTTCTAAACTATGGCGCTTGTTTCTTGCTTCTAAAATATCGGGTGAAAACCAGGAAGTGTTTTTACGTTGACGGATAGTCTTTGTCTTTAATGGTGCATATTTATCAAGAAGAGTTGTAAGAACATCAGTAAGATTATCTAACAGTTGCGAAGAATCACAGACAAATGGTGGTGTTAAGACAGACTGCGACAATTCATGGGTAAAGTCAGTAATATGGATATTTTTCAAGCCACGAAAGGTGCATGTGACTGATGGTGCTACAGGTCTATCAAAAATAACATCAAAGGATACAAGGAGATGATCTGAAATTTGTTTATCTAACACTTCTATGTTTTGAATAAGGGAAGCATCTCTGGTAAGCACCCAGTCAATAATATGACCACTACGATGGGTTGAAGTTGGAACGTGTTGAATATAATCATGACTGTCAAGAATCTTGAGTACTTTCTTTGTTAGGAAATTATCTTGAGAATCAAAATGAATATTGAAGTCTCCGAGTATGATGGTGCTTTCTTTCTTCCTATCTAGAAGGTCACAAAGAGTAGCAAATTCTGTTAGAAAACTGGATTGTGTCAGTTCGTTTTTCTTCGATGGAGGTGGCCTATACAGACACACAAAGCGTAAAGACTTTTTTCCGCAGCTAATTATACATGTCAATAATTCAAAAGATGAAAATTCTGCAGGTATTTTTGAAATATCCAGAACTAAATTCTTTATATGTAAAAGAGCCAATCCGCCACCGGTCCTTTGGAGCCTAGGGACATGGATAAATTTATAGCCATCAGGAATTAACTCTGCAATTTTACTCTGATCGCCATCTTCTCTCAACCAAGTTTCTGTGATAAACAACACATCTAGATTTGATTCCAATATTAATTCAGAAACAGAAATTGTTTTATTTTTAACAGATTGAGCATTCCATAACCCAATTTTAAGAAAGTTTGAACTATTTGTATCTATATTGGTGATAGTAGTAGTAAGGTTATTCTTAAGAGAATTAATGTCATGTTTAACTAAATTTCTTGTGAACACATCAAACTTCTTTTGTTTTCTCTTTCCACCCCTTGTTCCTCTCCTTGTTGGTTTAGTTAGGTTTATTTTAAGATCACATATAGTATTGAACAGGTCTTGATTAAGCCTATTGTATTGGTGAGAAAGATTAATTAACACTTCTTTACTGAGAGTAGTCAGCATGTCACAAGCTGAACATCTGTGGTTGTGGCCAATTAAAGGTTAATAACAGTTCAACTTTCAAAAATATACAAAATACAAAAATGCATATTATCTGCATAAATATCCAAGATTTTGTTTCCAAACTTTATAATATCCAAGTTTGTCACATCATGAAGGTTATATCCAATTTTCAGACACTAATATTCAGAAATGACACTAAAATATCACAAAAACTGCAGAGCCGATCAAGTGTGCTGCCTGTCAAGCGCTCACTTAGTTTCTCTCATTCAAGACAAAAAACCCCAGACTGGGACGGGATTGCATCTTCAAGCTAGTCAATTACATGTAGCCCTATTTAGACAATAAATACAAAAGATATATCAACTTTAGAGAAATCAATGGAGTGCAATCTACATGTGCTATATTCCAAATCCAGTCCAAAAGGGGAACTTTACCGTGCAGTGCATTGAACAAAGTCAAGAGGAGTGTAGTACTTGTGCCTTTAGCTAATTAGAACTTTCTCAGTTGAATAATTTTTGTGTTTTAACAGAATTTTCTTTAGAATTAGTTTTTCTACAAGGATGTGGAATGTTGAGATACCTTTATTTTTAATACATTTTGTAAATATTAGCGGGAACTACAAGAATCAACTTGCCCCATTGCATGAATCAAAATATCAAATACTGTACTAATGTCAATCCGACTACTTTACCACATCAAAATTACTAGTATTACAATATGAACACAAATAATGTATCTATCCAGTTTGACATTTTCCCAAGCAAGATGAACAAAACAAAAGTGACTCATCAGTCTCATCTTACCCAGCTCTCATAAAATTTGGGTATTTATTTGTTCATTACCAAGCTACCAAACAGAAAGTTGAATTGTATCCTTTACTTGCAATATTTCACTTGAAACCAAGAGTGATAACTGATTTAAAAATGTCTTATTTAGTGATGAATGAAGTGGGGGTTCAACATCCTACTTTTCTGGACCAGGGTATACACCATACAGTGTACCACAAGGGAAATTTTGCCTGGATAACAATTGAATTCCAATTATCAGGGATTCTTTTCAAGCACATCAACGTGTACATAGGAACTCAGTTTTTTGTCCCATCCAAATGACTAGATGCTGTTCCTTGCTAGACCCTCTGTTGCCTTATTTTGTACTGACAAAAATGCTGAATCTGATTTTTCGCACAAATGACCAAAATCTACCCAAAACCACAATTATCACAAGTAGATCATTATTTCATTCTGGTTTTACACTAGCCGAGGTTCTAACTATATTCCTTTAACAGTTCTATTTTCTCTTTGATGTCTACTTAAACCACTGTGATTGGTTAAATCAATTACTGCTCAAAATTATGTCTCTTGATTGGCTACAATAAAGGTCACCTGAAGAAAAACATCTTCAAAGTGTTGTTAAATCCTAAAGTAATTATGGTGTAAAAATATAACAAAATATGAAAGAGAAACAAAAGCACCATGGTAGAGTTTTAATCAAAGTGGAAATTAAGCCTGTAGTCTGGTGATAATTTTTTGATTTTCTACAAAATGATACATTCATGTCTATTAAATGTCTGTCATGCCTAGAGGGATGGGATAGTTTCTGGGATATGGTAGTCCTTGAATGAACAGGGTGAGAAGTTTGACTAAAATTGTTAGGATAATGAATATTTATTTATATCTATTTTAAACAATATTGTTATATGGTCAAATGTAGAAGCCTATATTTTTCATTATTTGAATTTAGTCATGAGACTGTGTGATTTGGGGAACTTACTTCCTTGTAATGCATATTATATGTGTGTTTTTTTAACACTGACTTAAAGAAGCAATGGCTTTGGTTTTTATACGCTCACATGGAAATGTGGTCGTATATTGCTGTCGCCCCCGTCTGTCCGTCGGTCCTCCACACTTTCTTGTGAACACTCGACAGACTACATTTATCATTTGATTGTTTTGCAATTGTTATATGTTGTTAACATTATTGAGATGAAGAAGCCTATTTTATTTCAATAATTTCCGTTCATTTCTTCTGGATTTATGACCCTTGTTTCACTTTATTGGTCTTTGTGAACGCTCTAACAACAAAAATTTATATGCATCCTTTAAATTAGTGAAACGAAGAAGCGTATTGAATTTCAGCAATTTCCGTTAATTAAGTCTAGTGTTATGGCCCTTGTTTCATTTTGTCAAACACTGTGAACACTGTATTATCAAAAGTTATCTGCTGATCTGTATGAAATGTATATGCGTCATTTAAATAATTAAAAAGAAGAATCCTATTTCTGTGTAATACGTCTAGAATTATGGTCCTTGTTTCACTTTTGTTTAACCTTGTGAAGGTTCGAAACACAAAATTTATCATCTAAATTGTATGAAATTTATATGCATCATTTAAATTAGTGAAATGAAGATTCTTGAAGAAGCCTTTTGAATTTCAGAAATTTCTGTTAATTATGTCTCGAGTTATGGCCCTTGTTTCACTTTTCAGAACCTTGTGACCATTCGAACGACAAAACTTATCTGATCTGTATGAAATTTATATGCATCATTTAAATTATTGAAATGAAGAAGCCTATTGAATTTATGTTAATTAGTTCTAGAGTTATGGCCCTTGTTTCACTTTGATGAACCTTGTGAATGCTCTAACAACAAAAGTTATCATCTGATCTGTATGAAGTTTATATACATTATTTAAATTAGTAAGACAAAAGATCCTATCAAATTTTAACAATTTCTGTACATTAATTCCAGAGTTAAGGCCCTTCTTTCAGTTTGTAGAACCTTTTGAACCTTCAAACGGAATTTATAATCTGATCTGTATGAAATGGTCTTGTAAATGCCCCCCATTACCTACAAGTGAATAGCTGCTGTAGTGGGTGTATGTTTCGTTGCCTGGCAACCTATCTTTCAAAAATATTATGAAACTTCTATTAGTTACTGACATATACATTTTAGCCTTTAATTTGCATACTTTTACCTGATCATGTGAAATCTGTGACTTTTAGTTTCAATGGTCTATGGCTCTATTCTATTGAACCTTAAAATAAATGAAAATGGGTCTAAAAGCACATATTAATGCAATATGAATTGATATAAAGTGATTTTTATTCATTTCTAATCAATTATGTTCCGTGAAATACACGAACAATCCAAATTGGACAGTCTTTTACGTCTACGAAGTCAATTCTACATGTTTTTTAATTATTATTTTGTCTTTTGGTAATCAGCCATTCTAATTCATTCCGCATTGTCTTGTAGGATAATGTTTATCGTTGCATATGGCGCCCGAAATCATAGAGTACACGACTCGTGTACTGATTTTAAAAAGCTCACTGTGTCTTAAAGGACCTAAGTCGCTAAATATATTTGGGAATTAGAAATGGACACAAATGGGTCTCAACGCATACAATAATGTAATATGAATAAATTGAGTTACATTCAATCGATTCTTTTTTACTGTAATTTCTAATCAATTAGGTTTGCCGACATACGCCAGTATTCTCAATCGAATTTCAATCTCTAGCTTCTGGTTATTCCAGTCTACGCCGATAGTATTTATTGGACATGCTCTCCATATAAGAATATAGTGTCACCGTTTGACATGACTTGTAGAATATGCCTAGCCTCGTTTTTCAAGTCCCTTATTACAAATTGCACTGAAATGCATTATAGTACACGATTCGTGTACCAATTGTAAAATGATCATTTTGTCTTAAATATTGGATACCAGAAGGCCATCTTTTCCCAGTAAGATCACAACATCAATGTTGATTTAAACTGACAAATAAATCGTGTTTTCAATGTTGAAGATTTTGGATGATATTGAGTTAAGAGACTCAGCTACATTAAATATTGGATATTAGGATGCCATATTTTCATGGCACAATTAACAGATTTTGGATGATATTGAGTTAAGAGACTTAGCTACTTTAAATATTGGATATTAGGATGCCATATTTTCATGGCACAATTAACAGCACCAATATTGATTGAAATGGACCAATATTAAATTCCAATTCTTGTTTAAAATTGCGAATACTATGAACAATATAGAGTTATTTAGCTCCTTTAAAGACGATTTACAAAATCTACATTTATCTGACAGAATAACTTTTTAAGATTCTGCATTTCATAACTCGGGGACAATTCTTTTACACTTCCTTACACACATCGTATGATGTGTGGTGAGTTCATATTTTTGTACCTAAAGGCAACTAAACGCGTATTTGCAATATTTTATTTTAATATCTTTTGATAAATGAGTTATGATATCATTGAAGATAAAATTGAATAAGAGAGTAAGCCAATATTTGTTGAATGAGCCATCTGGTGTCTTTTGTTTCGAAGATAGGCACAGCAGCTTGAACCATTACCGATGTTCGCTTCCAAGTCGACACGCGCGTCTCAGATTATATCAATCACCCGCATCCACACAGTTCATAGGTCATAATGTCAAAGGTGGAAGGGTCGAAGGCTTCAATCAATGTCTGATGGCAGTAGATGGTGTAAATCTACCAGTTGGCTTTGTTTTGTTTTATTTATATACAAAGAGAAAGGGGCAACACTTAAAGGTGAGGATATTTGTTTATTCCCAAGATAAAAGAAAAAATAGAAAGATGTTTTAAAAGGATAGGCTTGTTATCGTCTATAAAAGTGGAATTCTTTATTCAGCTGTGAATTAACAAATTTTTGTGATGGTGATGGTTCTTCTGAATCATGCTGCCTATAATCAGGCACTTGTTAGGTTAAAACGCGTGTATTATTGATCGAATAAGCTCAAAATATCTCCTTGACAGATTTTCAAAAGACGATATCATTATTTGGATACTTTGTTTTTCATTTATTACATGTCAATCAGTTAAGAATTGAAACGTGCAATTACTGTGTTTTACTGGTTTGTAAATAATTATTACACCGTATTATATGATAAATGTTTTGTTTATTTTTTCAAGCAGTAGTTACATGTATGTATTATAAAATTTTATATGAAATATAGTGGTAGTGATGGAGAATATAAAATATATATTATAGTTTACTGCATTATGAATTAGTTATTATATATAAAATATAAGTTAAAAGCATATTAACTAGCTTTATACATATTATTATAAGTATAACAATTATATATTACATTTTATTCATCGGTCTTAACCTGGTTATTCACTTGATCTGATCTGTGCACTTGTTGTTCAAGGTGTCTGTCACTGTGTATATTGTATCCTGTCCGTAGGTTTGTCTTGTGTAATTGTGTGTGGTGTTGTCACTCTGTACTTACTCGTGTCTGCTACATTTATTCACCTTTTCTCACTTTCCAGGGGTGTCACTAGCGAGGATGACAAGGAAATCTTTTCTTTATATGCAAGGAAAGCTCTGCCTAGTTGTTTGGATGGGACAAAAAAAACTGCAGGTCCACCCATGTACACATTGGCATGTATAAGAACCCTTGACAATTGTAATTCAGTCTTCTGTCTGCTCAAAATTCAAAGAAAAAATAACTGTTTGTTAGTCTCAAAATCATGAGTGGTTCCATTTTGTAAACCTCAGAATTGAAGGTTTTTTTAAATGAATAAATTAAGAAATTTGAGCTAAAAAACAAAAACATGCAGATTTTAATTTATTCTGTTTACTCACACTAAGCTTCAATTTTCTAAAATATCTGTTCAAGTCGTTTTTATTTTCTATTTATACGTGTCTATTTTAGTTTACCTTGCCCATTAGCTATTTCGTGACTGTAAACCAAGTACATTGAAGTTTTGTTTGCTGTCTGTTTATTACATTATTGATAATAAGATAAGAATATGGTCTAGTAGAATATGGCAGATGGTTCTTAAGGTAGTTAACTGTATTCTATTACATCATATAGTTGTAAAATGGTGGCTATAAAAGTTTGTAGTGGTGGGAGAAGTAGAAATCTTGCATGATTATTACATTTACCTTGTTCAGTTACTACTACTACAATGAGTCAGTCAGTCTGTCTGCATCTAAAGTTTAAATAGATAAAGGAAGCCACAGTATCTCGCTAACTTGGAGATCCCTTGATCGATCCTGTTGTTGGCCGAGACATTTTGTCAGGGTTTGCCAGCATGTTTCGCCCTTGTCAGTGATGCAGGATGGAGGGACTGGGAAGGGACAATGTATAGTCGTTTGGATGGCATGAAAACCAAAGTCCTGTGTACACATTGAAAAAAACCATTTACATTTTGAATTCGAAATAAGAGTAGGCTGTAGTGCCTCTGTCTGGGCAAAATTTCCCTTACAGCACACTGCATGGAGTATGCCTAGCTGTCTCTATTAAACTAGTTGGAAAGTGTTTTTAGTTTTTTCCTTCATAAAGCTTGCGCTTAAAAATTTATTATGGTCATTACCCCTAGAAGCTTGTCCATGATCCTTGATCAATTTTAAAAAATGATATGAACGCTCCGAAGGCTAAAGTGATCATCCGATTGATTTGTAAAAGGCTGTTGATTTTCAATGATTTCTATTAACTTAAACAACTCAAGTTATCATCTGATTATGGTCAAATGTTAGCACTAAAAAAAACTTGTAGCCAATCAAATTCTAATTATATCTGATAATTACCACGTACATGGTTTGTTACTCTTGCTCAGCCTTTAGTGTTTTGTGAATGCTCCCATTACCTATTCAAAAATAAATATGTATGTGCCTCAATTCTATAGCCCAGTTTAGACTTGGCCGTAATAAGCGTGCTGTTTGTGGCACGGTACCAGGCCGCGATAAATTTCAAGAAATTGACCTTTACATTACTCTAGAATAACCGGTCTAGGAACTGTGCCAGGCATGCCAAATGTGGAACTCTTCACAGAAAAAATAATTTTAGTCCTTATGCAAATTAACCAGATGAAAACAGAAATGGCGATTGATTTAGTTTGAGCAATCATTTTGACAGAACTGATGACAGAACTGTCAAATATCGCAAGAAAAAAGGTCAAGGTTCATTTGGCGCATGTCTAGTATAATCCGTACTGAAACCGTGCTCAGACCGGATAGCACAGAGTAAACCGGATAGCGTTTACACTACGAAAATTTAGCCGTGCCAGTGGACATTTTGGACTAGGAATTATTTTTTTTTTTTGTTAGAAAGAAGACGTTTCGGCCAGATTTATTTGTTTCTCCTACCGATTTTTTCTTTGCTGTTTATTTATTTTGGTTGGTTTTTTTTTTGGTTATTTTTACTGTGACATTGTATTTTTTAAAAATAAGTCTGAACTCGTCATCTTTGTACATGTTTGCAAGTCCGAGTGACTGAAGGGGTCTCTAAGATTATTGAGTAATTTGATACAAATAGTACTGAATCTGTACTGTATGAAGAGCAAGATCTATAGAGTAATCAAAGTCTGTTATAACAGTTTACGGGTCACAACCATGCTCCTCTAACAAAACAAAACATTAAAGTTATAAGTATCTGAGTCTTTCTTTATAATAGTATGTACACTAATGGAACAAAATACACAACCCTGGATGACATGCAACTGCATAAAAATACTGAGTGCCATAGCGATGCACCAAACAACAGAATCTGCAAATTTCTAGATGTCGTGTTCCCTTCAAATGCTTTAAAAACTTACTCTACTCGCTTTCAAAAACATTTTCTCATAAAAATAATAAATTGTATTTGTAAAATTGGGCGAAATGTCCGTTGGCCGAAACGTTCTAGGCCGAAATATCCGTGCACCATGCCGAGACCACCTCACTCTAGTGGGCCAAATTGGCACGGTACTCAGTACGGCACGCTTATGTTTGACCCGTTTACACTACAAAAAAATTAACTGTACCGTGCCTGGCACGCTTAAAATTTGTGATGTAAACGGGGTTTATATCTAATACCAATTAAGTATTTCCATTTTCTGGAATTAAATATCTCTTCAAGTTGCATAGCAAGATTATGTATTTATTTTGTATCCAGTAGAGCATCTGACAGTGTATCTATTATGGTCAGTTCAAATGTTTCCTATTAAATCTTTATTTACATCCACATTAGCCATGACAGCAGATAAATGCACTTATTGTGTATAATAACAAACTAGTTGATAGCTAAGCCTGCCAACATCTAAACATATCAGCAGTCTGACCACATGGACTAGCCTCCAGTGGTTATTTCTATACAACATTGTTGTTTAGTGGATATCTGACTAGTTCCAAGAATGTTATGGCTAATCTCTAGCTATTTACCATCAGTCAATATTCCACAGGGTGAAAGGTTCACTTATTTCCATGTGACTGGCAGAAATGGAGACCATGTAAACTAAGAAGAGTTTGTACTATTTTGATAAACATTTCAAATATCAAGCTGTCAAATAATTTACTGAATATTATCAATGATACACCAAGCCTCTTGAACTGATCAGATAGTCCAGTGATTTATTTATGTTTAACAGTGAATGATCCCTGTTTGTCTGTCTGTCCACTCTTCAACTGTATATTATTGATAGGTGTAGGTTGAGATATACGATATGATATCTTGATGGACCTAATCTATATTGCATGTCAGAATGTTGGCATCCTCCTTTCCTTTAAACATATGATAAACTTTTAACTATAGAAAATGGGAATACATAGGCCTACACTATTGTTCCTGTGTAATAATACAAAAACTGCCTATTTTTTCTGAACATATATGAAGGAGGAAAAAGGATAAAGTTAAAACAACTTGGCTCCAAATTCACAGAAAATTATTTTGGTTTATCAATAAGAACTGCAGCAAATTTTGTAAAAGAATAAGTGGGAAAATGAACAGGATTAAAGTGTCATCTCATAAAAATAATTTGGTTTGGTTTCATGCACAAGGGATGCTTACTCTTTGCAGAGGAATTAAATTCCACTTCTTAAATATTTGGAAAGTTGGTGTAGTTTATACCGTTTTTCAGTTGACCTTTGTATTTCTTGAAATTCAAGTTATTTATACACATGAACTTTTGGATGAAGTGAAATTAAATATAATATATACAAGATTGATATTTAATGAGTTTATTGTAAAATTGATTAGATTTATCCCGAGAGACACTTGTCTATTCTTCAAATTTAAATGTTGACCTTTTACAACAAATGTCATTCATATCAAACAGGGTGTATCACATTACTTTCAGGAAGTTATGTCAACTAAATATTTAACAAATTTATCTCGAGGTTTCCACAGATTTTATTTTTACCGTTAGAATTACGTCAAAGGCAGTTGTTGGTGTCATGTTGGCTATACACTTAAGCATATCTGCAACATCTGCCATTTCCTGACTCAATTTAATATTTTATCAATTTTATGATTAAAGATTTTCATAAAATGAATAATTGTGTCTTTAATTTAATGACGTCTGTTCACAGGATAATATTTGTCAGAGTCTCCCGACTCGAGAACAATAATGTAATGTAACATGTTTTTCCTCACAACTAAATTCTTTAGTTGATTAAACATTGAACCAGAACAGCATTTATAAACCTACATATTTAGTTTTAGAATATAAAATGTTGAATAATGTTTTTTTTAGTTAAATTAATAGATGGTATAAACTTACCCCAAGACCTTATATTATATTTTCATTTGTTCATATCAAATACA